AAAAAAAAAAAAAAAAGGAAAAAAAGGAAAAACTATGTTCTAAAAAAAAAAAAAAAAAGAAAAAAACTAGAAATCAAACAATAAAAAAAAAAAAAAAACAGATATCTTGTACATTAAAGCTTTAGAAAGTAGGTAGACAAAGATAGCCAGGAGATACTTGTGACTGACAGAGATAAGAACAAAATCACTTTTTGTGCCTTTGAAAATGAGGAAACCTCAGTAACATTAGTGAGAGGCAAAATAGGTAGCAATAATTAGAGGACTTGGAACTGCAGCCGGGATGTTATGAGCCTATATTATGAAGAAAAGGAAGGCCAAAACTGCAACTTGAAAGTGTACAAGTATCCTATAAATATCTATTTGTAACTTTGGGTAATATAAATGTCCTTCATACCATATTTTTTGAACAAGAGTTAGATTATGTACTGTTAATTTTGAATAAGTGTTTAGAATTTAGTAGGTTTGAATAATTTCCACTGAAGTGAGTGAGAACTCAGGATACCTGCTTGAATTTTAAACAAATTCAAACACGGTAATTTATACAGCAGAGGGTTGGAAGTGTGCCAGGAAGCACAATAAAGCGAGGAAGATGTAGCATTAGGCTCAGTAAACTTAAAAATTTTGTTGGAAGCAGGGACACCAAACCAACCACAAAACAGGCTTGTTATTCAGCACACAATAGCAGGTGTGATTTTTGTGGGAGCAGTAGTTTGTCAGAGCCAAGCACCAGGTAGGGTAGCTGATTCCTTGTTTTCTCAGTGTCTTTAGTTAGTCCTGTAGAAAATTCAAGAGTTCTGTGCTGTGCCTGCTGCACTGGGTCAAACATTAGAGCCAGCAAGGATCTCTGAGGCTTGGTAGTGGCTGTGTAATGCAAGGTAAGGGTAGAAAGGATTCCTGTACTGACCAAGCCTTCCCTCTTGAATGTTTTTATGTTAATGTTTTTGAACTTCTACAGTGAAATATTTGAATACTTGCATAAGCAAAGAATAACTAACTGAAATGACAGGTGAAAAAAACCTATGTGCTGATGGGTGCTGGGCCAGGTAACATCGAGTGTTATTGCCCTGTAACTTTGGTCCATGGTAATCAGTTGATTGTGTCTGGGAATATCTTTGTCCCACTTGAACCTCTTTAAATCAGGTTCCTGGAAATTCTGAACAGCTTTGAGCAACTGTGGATTCACCCTGAAGTTGTTAGTGGACACAGATTTGTTTTTAGTAGTATTGGTAAATTGCCTATGGTCCATTTCTCTAAATGAGAAGAGTAGATACAGTTTAAGCACACAGGCAAAAGGACATGATGCTCTTCCCAGTGGCTGGTATATTTGACTATTGCACTGGTGTTTTCCTACTGATAACTGCTGGTTTAACTTTTTTGTCTAAATCTGTTGCACTCCTCTGACACTGTGTTGCACTTTTCTGTACTTAAGTTGGAAACCCAACTGAAAGTGATTCAAAAACATCTGGTATTTGTTGGTTATTGATATTTATTGAAGTAGCAAATAGTTTTATCTGTGGTTCTGTTTCTTGCAGAACTCTCTGTCTTGCCACTAAAAGGTCTTCCTAAACATATTTTGTCAAAGAAATCCATTTACTTCCAGAAACTTAATGGTTTTGGGCAGAAATAACTTAAAATAGCAGGAGTTCAGTTCTACAGAGACAGAGGATTTTGAGGAAAATATAATAATCCTCCCTTCCTAGTTCTAGCACTGAAGTTCCAAAGCAATGCTTGGAAATGGGCCTGGCATCACACAGGGAGCTCCTCTTATTTTACTTACCGAGAGAATTATTGTCCCTCTGTTATCTACTGTCTGATCTGTCTAGATATCAGTAAAATTTGGTCTCGAAATGAGACTTTCAATAGCAGCTTTCTGTTTAAAAGTAGATAAAGATAAATTTGATTATCCCTTCTCTTTGTCACCCAGAAATAACCTGCAAATTGTTTTGGGTTTGTGCTCATGCTGCCTGTAGAAGACAACTTCTTGCAAGTGCAAGTAAAATATTAATAATCTTGTTTCCTTTATTTTTTTTTTCTTCACCAGATTCCATTGTGATTGGATTTTGGGTTGGTCTTGCAGTTTTTGTCATCTTCATGTTTTTTGTCCTGACCCTGCTGACGAAGACAGGAGCACCACATCAAGAGTGAGTCTGAAAATGGGAATAAGAAATCTAGCCTGCTAAGTGGCACACCTGGGCTCTTGCAGCCTCCAAGCAAGCAGTGACAGTGCTGACATTGTACCATCTTGTTACAGTCTGCTCTTATGAAACAGTGCAGCCTGTCTTAATTTCAAATAATTTTTGCATTTTCATTCTAAAAGGATGCTTTGGGTAGGCTGCCAAACAGGTGCCTTTAGATTATTGAATTGTAACCAGGTAGGATGGTTCTTAAGTAGGCTCAAATTTTCATGGAGTGATACTGTGAATATCAACAGAGTAGATACAAATAAAATGCAGCGCAGATGTTGAATTAAGGAAGCTGAAGCCTGGCTGGTTTCCAAATGTTTGTGTGTTCAAGTCCAAAGACAGATTTGGGTAGTGTTTGCAAAATCCTCCCCCAACCCCTGAGATATGAGTGTCTTAGTTTCTGCTGAGAAATTGCAATAGATGCTGAAGTAGAGACCAGCTCAACATTTCTTTAAAACCAGGGTCCCCTGAAAGTCCTCTATTTTTTAATTCTTTCTGGCTGATAAGTATGTGCAGACCATGCCTTGCCTCAATGGTTTATCTGCATTTGCACAGGATGCAGGCTGTCATTGTCCCTTCCTCCGAGAAAGTTTGAACCCACATCTCCTCTCAGGCTTGTGTGCCATTAAGAGGAAATAAAAAGCCTCTCTGGAGCGTGAGATTGCTTGCAGGCAGGTAGCAATGATGAGAAGCTGATTGTAAAAGGCAATTGCTGCTACTTATCACTTCCTAAAGCAGCCTGTCTCTGCCTCCTGGAGCCCCTTTGCTATTTTTAATCACATGTAAACTGGCTCTGGAACTCCATGTTAATAGCACATCTCAAGAGACAGGGCCACATTAGAGATGGCTGATGTACATCCTGAGCCTCTTTGGTGCTCCTAAAATTTTGCTCCTGTGAGAAGAAAACAGAGTCAGTAGAATCCAGCTTACCAGAACTGATGTGCTGGTATTTTTGCTTCCCCTACAGACTGTTATGAAGAAGCCAGACATTGCCCCCAAACAGATTTTAAATCCCTGTAATTATTGGTGTGCTGTTTTATATTATCTCCCCTTGCTTCATATAGAAATATCACTATTTACTTCAGTGCTACTACTCGAGATGTCATTTCCTTTTCACAAAGATCTTATTTATTAGCTAAGCATGAGTCTGGATCCCATGTGGACAATTTGAGAGGGGAAAAAGTGATGAAGTCAAAATACATATATAGAGAGAATTTAATATGGATATTTGTCAAAATTTTACACTTAAAAAAAATTATTTTCAGGTAGCAGAGGCCTGCTTTATATCTCCCACTTTTTAAATAAATTTTCTCAGAACAGTGTCCTAAAGAGTTTATGAAATATCCACCTTTGGTCATCTTCTACATCCAGATAATGTAATCCGAATTCTTCTTCAGTTGCTGGAGCAAGACCAATTATTCCTTTCTGTATTTGTTATAGATCTCTTTGCAGCTTTGGGAGCTGTGTGCCTGAGTGCTTGCCCACTTGCTATGTATGCTGAGTTTACAAATTTGAGCTTTTTTTTTTTTTGACATTTGGTAATGAAATGTTCATGGTACTAAACATGGATCCTCTGAGAATATGCTAAAGGAAGTTAATACAGTTGGGTTTTCTTATTTTTGATACATGTATATAAAAACTGGAGAACAGCTACCTGTAAAACCACTTGTTTTAGTTTGCCTGCATCTTCTATTTCCATGCCTGACTGGATTCTTCATGGCTTAGTGTTTCATTAGTGGGCTGCCTTGAGCTGACCTTTAGAAATAGATGTTAATGGGATTTCTAGGTCCTGGGAGAAAGGCGGCTTGATTGATGGATGAAGTCTCTGAAATCTCCGACTTCAGTGAGGCTATTTGGCTGTTCTTTAAAATACCATTAATGTGAGAGATTAAGTGTATCTGGGCTCAGGTGGATGGATCCAAAGTAGAATACTCTGATATTTTTTCCCCCCAGTAGTATATTTTTCTTGGCTCAATACAAAGGGGCATGATAGGATGTACTTTTCAAAATTACACAAGATGTTCAGAATTAGGTACATTCTCCGACCTGAATGGACAGGGTATGGATGGGGACTGGCAGAAATTTAATGAGCTATGGAAATGGTCTGTTGCATTTCTCTTTTGTTCACTTGCATATATAAGTATGAGTGGCACATTAGTTTGTGCAACTGAAAAAAAAAATTGGCAATATCTGAATTTCCAAAAAATGCTCTCATTCATCACTCAGTAGAGGAAAGCATGCCATACTTGTTTCTGCATTTGAAAACATCCTTAAAAGCACATTCATGCAACAAATGCAAGAGACCATGCAACACATTTGTACAAAATATTGGCTGGTGTCATTCTAAAGCAGTAAATATTAGATAACTGGTTTTGGATTTTTTTTTAAAGAAAACAGTTGATGTTGGTTAAGTGAACCTGGGATTTTTGAAACTGCTTTTCTTGAATGCTCTGAAAAGATATATGCTGAGGAATTCCTGCATATTGTAATGAGCAAGACTATGCAAGTTTCTAGTCTAGTTTTAAAAAAATGTAATAAAATTCCACTCTGAAATTCAAAGATGGTGTTTGTGAATTTCAAAATCCAAAAATATCACTGTATATCAGATCATGTGTTCCCTGCTCATGAACACAGGTTTATGCTTCATAATATATCCTCAATATTCTGGGTCATTGTAAAATTTATTTGCATCTTCCATTAAGATTAGGTTGCCATTGTCAATCTTGTGTGCCCCTCTGCATGGTCAGTCTTCAGTCCTTCGTAGTTCACTGGATTATGAAGCACTTTTCACACCCATGAAGTAATTCTACTCCTGTAGTGGATGCATTTTAAAGTTTCTTCCTCCTGGGCTTACAGTGCTTGTTCTTTTCTGTGCTTATTTGCCACCTCTGTTGCCTGTGCCGCAACACTACCTAGAAACTCTTGGGACAGATTTGCCAAATTTTATATGAAACTTAACTTCAGAGTGGTCCTTTTTACTGCATTATAAATACATAAATGTCAGTTGTCAGTTCAGAATTGTTCCAGGCTGTTTGCCCCCTGCTGTATATACTGGAGATTATTTACTTGGTTATTGGTCAGTCTTACATCAATTTAATGTTATTCTTCTACCTGGTTCCCTTTGAAATGCAGAGTGAGTCAATACAGTTTTGACGAACTAGAGAACTGCTCTGATTCCTAGGCTAGTGGAAGTGTTTTTTTGAGGACAGAATTCCCCCATCATGTAAATTAACTTTTGAGAAGCAGGCATCTTTAACTGTGCCTGAAAGACTAATGGTAGGTATCCTGTGAAAATTTTAGTGGGTAGATTTCTGAAGGTGTCATCTTGAGGCACTTATCTCATAACTGTAGGCTTGAGGAAATGAAATTACACTGAAAAACTCTTCAGTGCTGGGTGCACCTTTAGGTGTCCAATTATCTGATTTCAGCATCATTTGCTACGTCTCCAGATGTAAACAGTATGATTTATTAGTTCTTAACAAAATTCATATTCTGAGAACATGTTTCATTGCTCATTCTCTGAATACCTCTACTGCCTTCCAAAGGCAAATAACTTGCATTTTGTGATGATGGCATATAAATTCAGCCTGACAAAGAATGAATCTGTAGGACTGCTATCTACCTTGAGATCTTCTCACCCCCAGCTGCAAATGGCTTCCACAAGAGTCGATGCAGATTGCTGCTGGTTTGAGATAAGATTTATAAAGAAAACTGCCAAAAAACATGTTAAAAATATCCTTCCTTGGCTGCCTGTTAAGACTGACAGTGTTTAGAGCAGTCTTTAGTTCCAACTCCCCTAAGTTGGAAATCTGAATGTCATTGATTGAAGTGAACGGAAAAGATGGTTTTGATGTTTGGACAAACAAGCACTCAATGCCTTAGCGAGAGCAGAGCTGCCTGTGCCTCTAGAAACATTTTGTCTATCAAGGACTTTTCTAAAACTTATGTTCTAAAACTTTATGTTCTTATGAGCCATTTAAAACAACTGTTGCTACTTGAAATCAAGAGTGTTTATGAACTTGTTCAGTGAGGTGATTATTACAGTATATGGATTACTAGAAGTGCCATTTAACAGTGCTGGCATTAACTGACTCCCATGGAAAATTGTTATGACAAATGAAGACTTAAAATTGCTTCAGCAGAAAATAATATAGTGCTGGCTTTAGAAGTCTGTGGTAGATAAACTGTAGGGTTTCCTTTTCTCCTGATCATACTAAACTTGTTGATAAGAACTCAAATAGTTCTACTTTTGAGTTTACTGTATTTTTCTTTTTCCTCTATAGCAATGCAGAAATTTCTGAAAAAAGATTTCACATGAACAGCTTTGTGGCAGATTTTGGAAAACCTCTGGAGTCCGAGAGGGTCTTTTCTCACCAAATGGCTGAAGAATCCCAGTCACTTTTTCATTTCTGCATTAATGAAGTGGACCATATGAACAGAGAAAAAGAGAGTCAGAAAGGTCCATGTCTGGAGAGTAATACTCATTTCCAGGAGGTTCCCAAGAGCAGTGGAATGTTTGAGGAAGACCTACATTGTCTTACAAAATTTAACATTCCTAACTTTGTGAACACTGAGCAGAACTCTTCATTAGGTGAGGATGATCTCCTCATCTCAGAGCCACCAATCATTTTATAAAGCAAACTGGTTATGCAATCTTAACATTATATCCTTGACTGAAAAATCTTTTAAGTCAAACATTGCTGTTATTGTCCCCTCTGAAGCCTTTTTTGGCCTCCTGCTCTTTTGACAGAATGTATTTCAGACCTGTGCTTTTTATTGTACGTAAGACTGGCTGTACGCTGATAGAACTCCGTTTAGACAAGAAGTAAGACACTGAATGCTGTATTCTGATGCCTTCTGTGGTCGAAAATTTCTGCCCAGTATTATTTTTGCTTTATTATTTTTTGTTTGTTTGTTTCTTGTATTGTTCTTCATTTTTAAATGTCTACTTATGACCAGCTTCTGAAGGATAGTAATTTACAAGGATTGTGAAGGCTGGAGCCTGGCCTTGGGAAGTCTCTTAAAATTCACTGGCCAAGAAAAGTGTAAATCTCAAAGAAGATTGAAGAAGCCCCTGGGGATGTTCTGTAGTTAATGCTGCTCCCAATAAGGATGCCCGAAGCTGAGCACCACAATGAATACCTGCCTGGGACTAACTTCAATTTCTGATTCCTAACTGCTTTTTGGTGCAGGTTAAACCCAATTTACAAAGCTTCCAGAGGGAATACCTTGCAAATTAAATTGTTTGGTTACACTGTTTACAAAATGCTATCACCACCTGCTGCTGAATAAAAGCAAATAGGTGCCAGTAATTATACTTCAGAATGACACCTCAGCAGCTGCCTGTGATGACATGGAATTAGTATTCTACACACAAACACAAACTGTGATTTGACTTCCTTTTTTTTTTTTTTTTTTTTTTTTTTTTTTTTTTTTTTTTTTTCTGCTTTTTGCTGATGTGAACTTCCAGTTCAGTAATTACAGGATTAAGTAGCTAAATCACAGGAAATACGAAAAAACCTGTTTTTCTGCCAATAAAGTTGCTACATGCAAACGGTGTTGTTATGCTAAGCTGATGTCATGTGTTGCTAATAGGCTGAACCTTCCTATGCTTTTTGCCTTCACAAAAAGTCATTTCTTTACTCATTGGTCAGTGAAGTGCTAGCAGGCTTTGAGCTGAGAGAACCAACTCCTTAAGTGTAGCTAAGCTATGCTTGCTCCATCTTCTTTTTGTCCTCAGTTGGGAGAGTGTTGCAACCCCAGCTGTTCTCCCAGTGAAAGATTCGATAAGGATTTGAATAGGTATAGTTTCAATCTTTATTTTTTAGAGATGGAATTAAATTCTGAACCTTTGAGAGTACTTAAAGTTGTATTTCAGCTATCTTCGAAAGATGGTAACTAATGGCTGAATGGTTTTAGAGGAAGCATATAAAATGCAGAGGTACCAGGTTCAAGCCCTTTGCTGGATTTCAAATATGCTCTGCAGGAAGTTCTTAATTGAGATGAAAAGAGTGGATTCCAGACATGCCTTACTGGATTTTCTTGAAATTAACATGCTTTGTATCCAACACATCTGTGTTCCAGGTTAGAGACTTGCTGATACATTCTCCAGCCACTAAAATGCTTATTAATTCACCCCTTCTTCACCATACAAATAGGAAAAAGAGTTAATGGGTTGAGCATTTAAAGAATACAAATTGTGTAGGAAGAGTGCAAGGAAACATCTTTTGTTTTTATGTCCTATGCCCTTATTACACACCACTTACAACTCAATTTCCTGTTTTCAAATATGATTTTTGCAGGACTTGCTAGTGTTTAAAGCAACAGGATTACACTTAAAATAAAGCAGAGACTCTTTAAAGCTAGCAGGTTATTGCTGAAAATAGCTCCCAGAGAAGACTGAAATGAACCCTGTTCTGAATGAGCACATCTTCAGTAAAATGTTTCCAGTGGAGAAAAGGCCTTGTTTCACAGGAAGTACAGAACTCCAACTATGAAGGCTGTAGTGTGGACTTTCCTTTTCCTAAATCTGGGAAATCTGTCTCTGAATATGGCATCTACTTCCTGCTGAGGCACCTCAGTAACTATCAGCTATCTGATGGTTAAGCTTTGAAGCTCAATATCGTTCTTGCTAACACACTGTGGTTCTTGTACTAAATGGGGCTTTTATAGCTGATTTCTGGATGAGTGAGCTGCCTTCAGTAATGTTTGAACTATTATTTTTGTTTTTTTTTTCCTTTGCCGTGCTTGAAAACAATGAAATTGTTTTGAAAGCAATTGTCTTGAAAGCAATGCTGCTTGAAGGAAGGACAAATTACATGGAATACATCTCTTTTACAACTGAGAAATGAAGGATATTTTTAAGCCATTTAAAACTACATTTCATGGATCATTTGGGTTGGAAAAAGACTTTGAAGATCATAAGGTCCAACAATTAATCCAGCACCGCCAAGTCCCAGTCTAAATCATCTCACCCTGCGCCACAAGGATTTTTAAAACCTCTAGGGATGATAACTCCACTGCTTCCCTGGGCAGTCTGTTCCACTGCTTCACAACCCCTTTGGGGGGAAAATTCTCAAGAGTTTCAAAGTTTCAAAATAATGGAGATGGAGTTTTAGAAAAAGAAGATTCTGCTACTCCGTGTAGGCTAGCCTATGCTTTTCTTCTCCTACCATAAATCTCAGTGGCTTTTCTTCAGTACTTTGGGAAGAAAAAGTGGATATTGGCAATAATGGATATTGGCAATAATGCCTAGATAAACGGTACTTAATAAAATGACCCAGAGATGATGCCAACTTAACTTACAATATATCTGAATTGCATAGTTAATATCCTTCTGCACCATGTATTAATCCTGTAAAGCTATTTACGTGTTTGGTTCCTGCTTCTATTCTTTCCTGATGACAGATCTACTTTTTCATCTTCTCTCCCTTGTATATTTAAAGTCCTTCATGCTGTTTTTCTCAGAAAAATAACCTGTCAGTCCCCACTGTGGAGCTCCCACACCACTTCAGAGACACTGTGGCAGCAATAGTCCGATTCAGATTTTTGCTCTGCCTCAAAGCAGAGCCAGGCAAACACAAAAACGTTCTGCAGTTTTCAAAAGCAGCTATTTTAAGGTTGTCCTTCCATTTTTCCCCCCTTTTTAATAATAACACATAATTAGCCTCAGGGGAAAGGGCAATATATAACCTGTTAAAAAAAACCCCATCTTTTCTCAGAAAATCAACTCATTGATGCGCTACAAACTAGAATAGAAAGTGTTCTCATCAGAGCAATCTTCAAAAGGAGTACTTGGAATTTAATGGTGTTTGAAAATGGAATTTTTGTGAGTTTTCTTAGTGCTTGGCCTAAAGCCTCCTCTCAAAACTCAATATAAATGCATCACCTGCAGCTGATTTAACTGCAGAGAGATACAGCTATATATGTTTGTTTGCCTAAACATGTCTTGTATTCTGGAAGAACTTACTAGATCAAGTTATTTATCCCAGTTTTCAAAGGTAAATACTTGCAAAATGCTCTTCTATATAAACAATTTTAGTTGTGTATCTTAAATTAAAAAAAAGGCAAAACCCCACAACCAATCATGTAAAATCAGTAAATGCCTACTCAGAGAAGAGAAAGAGAATGGTAAAACTGTGAACCTCTCTACTACAATCCAGAGCCATAGTCTCTGAGACTGCAAGGTGAAGTAAATAGGGTATTTTTTGTAACGAAATTAAGTTTTTATGCACCTGAGCCCTCCTCCTTGAATACTCTGAGATTTTTTGCCACATTTTAGCCTTGGGTATTGACAGGTAGCAAGGACAGCAGTGAAGGACCTTCTACCAAATGTTCTCCAATGAGAGCATGAGAGGCCTGTGCTTTCTTATTTCTGGATGAGAGTTATATAGTTAGCTATTTAACATGCTACTTTTAATTCAGAGATATCACTGGATTTGTTTTCAAGAGTCAGGGCAGCACTTGATACATAACCCCCTCATTCCTTGCAGAAGGGGATTGGCACAGCTAGTGCTGGTATATTTGTCCTTTTATCTTGTACTTTCCAGAATAGGTTAAATATGGGATAGAGGGGCAGACTTCAAAATGTATTATGTGCTATCAAATAAAGTCTTAATTCACAATAACTTTTTTAATTCGTTACATGAACAATTTTGACATGTACTTCATAGAACTTGAAATGGAACACACTGCTGCTGTCTCTGCCCCAAGTGCCATGATGAAATCTGATCTTTTTCTGCACATCATGTTTTCCTCTCTTGAAGCAATCTAGGTCACTGAGTCACCTAGCCAGCTGTACACATGATTTCTTAAAAGCTTCAAACATGACAATTGAAATTTTTATACTCTAGCTGCTTTGCTGCAAATTGATGAAGTCCAGATAATTATTAGGCAATGATTTAAAGATACTACATTTAATTCTTTTAATCCATCCATTATGCCTCTTGGAAATGCATGATGAAACAGGATGGCACAAGAAGAGGAAAAATATACATGAGGAGTATATAGTTATATAACTCCTTGAAAGATCACACTGAAATCCTCAGAGAGTCAGTAACAACTTCAGAGGAGAACTTCACACTTGCATCTTAGTTCTCTAAAAGGTCACCCTAATGGCAGCCACTGAAGCCCAGAGAGTCTGTTACTGTGCAGAGGAATCACTTCATGGTAAATGCCTAAAAACTGAAGACCATGCTTCAGTGTACAACTGCAGAAATACTTGTAAGAAAATGGTAAAAACCATCTGATAGCTTACAGTAATGGTAAATAATACTGTCCCTCCTCAGTAAAATGGGACTCAGAGAGAGAATTTAATTCCAACCATGTAAGATATCAGCATTTGCTGAGAACTGACTGTAAGAACTGTAAAAAGTGTTTGAATGAACTGCATGAACATTAGGGCAACCCTCTGTTGCTGACTTAAGCATCATACATTTGAGAGAGTTTCCAGTAACTACAAATGATTCCCCTAGGATTCCTGTCCTAGCTGGCCTCTCTGGGAACACAAGGCTTGCAATAGTTGAAAAAATATCTCTCACTTCAGGTCACACACTTTAATACAGTGTTACACGTACAGCAAATTTTACAGGAAATAAATTAGTTGAAATGATTAAATTTGTATCCTTTTCATTTGCAAAACAGACCCAAATAAAGAAAATTCATTAAATTTACACATAGCTGATATTTTATATACAAAGCATTTTTATATTTACACATTTTATGAATATAGACTAATACTTTGTTAGATAGTGGCCAATTAAAAATACTGAAAACATCTGAACATGAAACAGTCAAGATTACCATATTAATTAGCAACCAACCATCCTTTAAAAACATCTATGTATATGTGTATACAGGTTCATTTTATGTTTGTGTATATGCC